TTATATGGGACGCTGCCACAGCATGGCCCAACAAGCGGTATATCAGTGGGCACCCTGGGTCCAAACCCAGGCCGCCAGCAGCGGAGTGCATGCACCTAACCACTACGCCATGGGGCCGGCCCCAAAGTTAACATGTTTAAAACTTTCTTCCAAAACTAGTTCTTACTCTGTGCAGAGTAGCTAGGTTTTCTTAGTCTCTAAGCTTCCTTTATAATCCTATTTCCTTTTTCCTTTTTTTCTGTCTGATTGATCCTTAAGATACCTGGGTTCCCTCTGTAAAATCTCTTGTATTGGTTCGTTCCTTTCCATTCACATTGCTACTGCCTTTATCCTGGCCTTTGGCACCACATACTTGAGTTTGCCAGTCTCCTCACTTATCTCCATATTGCCTTTATCTCCTTCACCAACACCTCTCTGTTAGAGCTGCCAGGAGAATCTTTGTACCTCATTTTATCATGACTCTTAGCTTTGACTACTATTTCCTTCAAGTTGGTTATAGATATTTATCATAAATAGTTCTCTAGGGCCGGCCCCGTGGGTTAGCGGTTAAGTGCACGTGCTCCGCTGCTGGCAGCCGGGGTTCGGATCCCGGGCGCGCACCGACGCACCGCTTCTCCGGCCACGCTGAGGCCGCGTCCCACATACAGCAACTAGAAGGATGTGCAGCTGTGACATACAACTATCTACTGGGGCTTTGGGGGAAAAAAATAAATAAATAAAATTACAAAAATAAATAAATAAATAGTTCTCTATGATGTTAGTGGGTGTGGTAAGGTGTTTGTTAAAATTTTATTCCCAACAATTTAGGATTTTTCTCTGTCTCTGATAACGAAGGAGTGATGATAGAAGGTGAATTCCAACATTAACAACAAGAAAAGAATGAGATGGATTTAGATATACTAACATGGAAAGATCTTCAAGCTATTTTAAGTGAAAAGAGTATACATAATACACAAGTGTATGCATGTACATGCATTAAAAGAAAAGAGATTTAAAAGTATATACACCAAATTAATAGTATCCACCTTTGGGAAGGAAATAACGTAAGGAGGGAAGGCATGAAGCAAGAACTTGAGTTTTTACTCTCCATATTTTATTATTGTTTACTTTTTTTTTTTTTAACCACAAGCACACGTTCATGTTTTATTCTTTAAAAAAATTAGAGGAAAGTTGCTCTTTTGATGTTAGAAAATAGCTAGGCAAATTGAGTGAAACAATCGGGAAGCAGTCCAGGTTTTTGCGGAATGGCAACAGTCATCAACCAAATGGCCTTTATTTCTACATAGAAAGGCAAGAATATCAAGTTATGTGAAGAGTGAACAGTGTCAGTTATTACAACTTCTAGTATTAAGGGCAGACTTATGTATAAAATTGGTTGCTTTCAATGTGATACATTTTCAAACACTTGATAAAAATAAATAATTTTGTTAATGGCATAAATACCCTCATCATTGGGTATAATCTCTGTTTACCTTAAATATTATCTAGAAACTTTTAAATACTAGTCAATTTCTTAGCCTTTTTTTTTTTAATATTGAAGAGGTTTGGTAAATGGCAAGTGCAACTGGGCATTGAATGATATGATTTTTCTTAGAATATCTGTCTTTAAAAATGTAAAAAGTCGTCTGACTTCATATATTTTAATCAGTAGTTCTTTGAACTTTATCTTAAAGCTGCTCAGACCAAATCAAAGAAGACCTTAGCCAAACCTAATGTAAAGAATGTCGTGGTGGTGGATGGTGTTCGCATTCCATTTTTGCTGTCAGGCACTTTGTAAGTATGAAATGATCATGTTATTTATTCCTTTTTTTGCCAGCTTTTGAAGTATGATTGACAAATAAAAATGGTATATATTTAGATTGTACAATGTAATTTTTTTTAAGGTGGACAAAGTGATAATTTAATATATGTATACATTGTGAAATGATTACCATAATCAAGTTAATTAACACATTCATCACCTTGCATAGTTTTATTCCTTCTTTTAAGGCACCTTCAAAAGTGGTCTTTGTAAATGTAACCCCAGTAGGTAATGTATTGTTAATGGACCAGTATATAGGTAGCATTTCCATGAAATTAATGTAGAATAAGTCAAGCCAACAAATAATACAGCAAAATTTGTTTTTCATCCTTTCTTGTGAACAAGCCTGGTGTAGTATTAGCTTGAACCAGCCCTATTTTGAAAACCTGTTGTGGGTCGAGATAGCCTTGCTTCCAACAGAGGTATCCTTTCCTTGTTTGGAGATAAGTGCATTGTTTCTCTGCGTCCTCAGAAGTTTGAGTAGTGAGGATGTGGGCCCATGGGCATTCTGAAGGGCCTTTAATCCACTGCTTTGGCCTCCTGGAAATTATCAGAATTGGAGTTGACAGGGCTGGTCCAAATCCCTGGCATAGCACAACCCCAAGTGTATGAAACCAGAATGATCCTAGACCAGCCCGAAAAGTCCCTGGAACTAAACTGCTATTCTCCTTAGCCTTTTCTAATTGTTTTCTGTCCCCAAGAGAGGCGCAGTCTGTCTAAAAACTGGTAATGGACTTTGGTAACTAGGTTCAAACCAAATGAAACATTAGTTCTATTCTGTTCAGATTGTTTTGATGTTTATATTTTGAACAAGCAGTCACTAAACTTAAAAACATGCTGGGGAATATTAGGCATCTGCTGAAAATAATGAAACCTATCTTATGTACTAATATGGAAAGATCTTGAAGATATGTTAAATGTAAGAAGCAAGGCGCTGAGCAGTGTGCCATCACTTGTGGAAGATGCACACCCGTGTGTGTCATGTGTGTGTGTACACATACATACACAAACAGTAAATGTTTATTTTTAAACAGGGTTTAGTACCTGGTTCCTATAGAAGTAATGCTGTAAGGAAGTAGTGGCGAAGTTTCATTCACCCTCTTTTCTCAACATAGTAACCCATTTACCAGCGTTTCTCGCTATAATCTCTTTCCTGTGCTGACACAACAGCAGTAAGAGTAAGAATTTGAAGCTTTAGCAGCAGGAAAGTGAAGAGATAGGATCCTCCTTGTACTGCAGCAGCAAGATAGGAAAAGAAAGTTCCAACAGGAGAAGAAAGTTCTTGGCTAAGAAGACCATTTTTTTGGAAAGGCTGTTTGTGTACTATGTAGATGTTTGATTCCAACTGTTTTACTAGCTGTTAAACATATACACTCAATGAAATCATTTATTTAAACATTTTCTTTAATAATTAGTATTTGCATGAAGTTTGAGATATTTAGCAGATTAGTATAGGGTTTTTTCCTTTTGTTGTTGTTTATTGTTGTGTTTTAGTTTAATTCAGGATCCTAATTGAGAAAGAAGACGAAGTTGATGAGCAATTTAGTGGTACAGAGAAGATGTTAAAATGTATCAATGAGGATATATGAAAATTGGTTCTTTCATGCATGGCTGATGAAAGTATACTTTGCCTTACTTTGGAGGGCAAATTTATTAAAATCAAAAATCGCGGGGCCGGCCCCATGGCATAGTGGTTAAGTGCATGTGCTCCGCTGCTGGCAGCCTGGGTTTGGATCCTGGGTGCACACCAATGCACTGCTTGTCAGGTCATGCTGTGGCAGCGTCCCATATAAAGTGGAGGACAATGGGCACGGATATTAGCCCAGGGCCAGTCTTCCTCAGCAAAAAAGAGGATGGTTGGCATGGATGTTAGCTCAGGGCTGATCTTCCTCACAAAAAAAAAGGTACATCCCTCATGTCCCTTTAGGCATCACAAAATAAATAAATAATATATTTTTTAAAAGTCTTAAAGAATATTTAATATTTAGTATTATTTAGAATGTTTATAATATTTAATATTATTTAGGATACTTAGTTTTAAAGAATATTTTAAAAATGTCATGCTGGACAATAAGATATTGTACAACATTTTTGTTAGATTCTTAACCAACTCAGTAGGAGTTCAGGCGTGCCGGATTTTTGAGGATGACAAATTAGCAAAGTCACACAATTTTTTCATTTGAAATGATGGACTGCCTTAGATAGTAAAGTTAAGTGCATTTGCAGCAGCGTGTTAGATGATCTCTTTAGGTATTTCAGATAGAATGAAAAGCTTTTTTTATTAAAGCTCTGGGCTTTTGGTTTAAATTATTTATTTTCTTTCCCCAGATATAAAGACCTGATGCCACATGATTTGGCTAGAGCAGCACTTTTGTGAGTAAATGCAGTTTTCTTACAAGCACTTTTCTCCAGTTTTTGCACTTGAAATAGTATGTTTAATAGAATTTCTGCATCTAGGCTATATTAACTTTTATGTGGTGAAAAAACACTTTACAAGGTTCATTTATTCTTCATTTTAGCCACATGTGCTCCACAAATTCAAGCAGCTGGTAAATGTAAGGCGTTATCTCATTCGTTTTCTATTGATGCTTTGCCTTTGTCTTTTCAGCCAGCCACAGGTCTTTCCTAGTTTGAAAAAACCCTTTAGTTGACCTTTCTGCCTGTCTGGCTCTGTTTCTTCTATCCCTCAAGACTTTAAAAATGAATGAAAGCAGCAGCTGCTTCTCTTTTCTTGCTATCCATTAATTCTCTTTAATCTTATCATCATGTTTCCATTCCCATTGCCCTACAATGACTGTACTTTGGAAGCTTCTCTTAATAATGACTTGGAGATCACTGAAGGCGCCAGTCTTTTCTCAGGTCATAATCTCTGTATTCTGTAGCACTTGGCACTGTCAGCTGTACTAGAAACTGTCTGCCTTTGACTTCTTAATATTATGCCTTTATGATTTTCCTTCCATCTCCTGATTGATTCTTTTCTGCTTTTTAAAAAACTGGAATTCTTCCTCTTTCTCTTTTTTAAAGGTATTTTATAAATTTCAATCCCTAGAGCTTTGTATTTTTCTGTACACGTTTTCCCTTAAAAATCTCATCTACTTAATCTTTATTTGTTTATGTAGAGGACTCCCAAATCTCTAAATTTGACTGATTTTCTTAGACACCTCAAGCTCAGCGTATCAAAAATAAAAATTATTGGGGCTGGGCCCGGTGGTGCAGTGGTTAAGTGAGCACGCTCCACTTCGGCGGCCCGGGATTCGCAGGTTCAGATCCCAGGCGCGCACTGATGCACCGCTTGTCAAGCCATGCTGTGGTGGCATCCCATATGAAGTTAGAGGAAGATGGGCACGGATGTTAGCCCAGGGCCAATCTTCCTCAGCAAAAAGAGGAGGATTGGCATCGGATATTAGCTCAGGGCTGATCTTCCTCACAAAAAACAAAGCCAGCTTATTATCCTATTTCTGATAATGGTGCTATTTCTGATGATGGTCCCAGGCTGGAGATTTGCAAGTTTTTCCTCAACTTTTTATTTTAAAAAATGTCAATTGTACTATAAAATTGAAGGAATAATACAATGAACACCTAAATACCGTCCACCTAGATTTAATAATTGCTACCAGTTTGCCACATTTGCTGTATCTGTATAGTTTGGAGCATTTGTCAGTAAGCTGCAGACATCTTGCTACTTCAGCCCTAAATACTTCAGCATTTATCTCCTAGGAATAAGGACCTTCTCTGCTATCCACGATACCATCAGCATAGCTAAGATGGTAACAGTGATTCTGTGATAACTTCTAACATCCAGTTCATTTGTCAAATCTCCCTCAATTGTTCCAAGAATGTCTTTTCTTTTAATAGTTTTTTTCTAAACCAGGACCCAATCAAGGTTCGTATTACAAATGGATATGTCTCTTTAGTCTCTTTTAATGTAAAACATTTTCTTTCTCTCTCCACCCCCCTCATGACAATGACTTTTTGAAAAGTCCAAGCCAGCTGTCCTATAGAATGTCCCACATTCTAGATGTTTCCTCATGGTAATATTTAACTTTCCTCTATGAATTTCCTGTAAACTGGAAGTTAGATCTAGAGTCTTAATTAGATTGAAGTGAAACATTTTTTGGTAAGAATGCTTCATGGGTAAAGCACATGGGTATTGCATCATATCAAGAGACACATGATGTGTGATGCTAAATGTAACCACTTGGTCATAGTGGTCAGACTGCCGGATCTTTTGATTATAAAGGTACATTTTTTCCCTTTGCAATTTTAAGTAATCTGTAAAGTAATATCTTAGCACCATGTGAATAATTTGTTCCCCTACAATCTTTCACCAAATGGTTTTAGCATTCACTGATAATTTTTGCATGAATCAGTTGTTATATTTGAGATTAAAAATTTGTGATTTTTCTAATTCTATTATTCCTCCTATTTTTATTGGCTGAGATTGTTTTGTAAAGATCAGTTTTCCTTTTTTAAAAATAATGATGAAGACTTATGGATTTTTATTTATTTATTGTGTTATAGCCCAGCTGAGTCATTATTTGTTTTTATTTATTATTATTATTATTATTATTTGTGAGGAAGATCAGCCCTGAGCTAACATCCGTGCTAATCCTCTTTTTGCTGAGGAAGACCAGCTCTGAGCTAACATCCATTGCCAATCCACCTCCTTTCTTTTTCCCCAAAACCCCCCAGTAGATAGTTGTATGTCATAGTTGCACATCCTTCTAGTTGCTGTATGTGGGACATGGCCTCAGCATGGCCGGAGAAGCGGTGCGTCGGTGCACGCCCGGGATCCGAACCTGGGCTGCCAGTAACGGAGCGTGCACACTTAACTGCCAAGCCACGGGGCCGATTTTTTATTGTTATTATTATTTTTTTCATTATTCATTTTGAAGCTCAGATTATTCCACATTTTATGTGTGGGAGCTCCTTCAAGTTGGCTCCTGTGTCCTTTTTGTTTTTTTAGTATAATATTATTTTTTGAGGTATAATTTGCATACAATAAAATGTACAGATTTTAAGGCCATAGTGTGATGAGTTTTGACAGATGTGTACACTGGGTTCCTGTTTTTGATATGGTTTCGTTAGTCTTTAAGTGCTTTCTAATTTTTGGCACAAAAAAGATCAGTGAGTTTCACTTTGTACTTTCCATGCCTCAGACCTGGTCTCAGTCATTTTTTTTTTGAAGAAAAAGATTATCCTTGAGCTAGCAACTGTTGCCAATTCTCCTCTTTTTGCTGAGGAAGATTGGCCCTGGGCTAACATCCGTGCTCGTCTTCCTCTACTTTATATGGGACGCCACCACAGCATGGCTTGACAAGCGGTGAGTCGGTCCATGCCTGGGATCCAAACCTGCGAACACCGGGCCGCCAAAGTCGCGTGCGCAAACTTAACCGCTACGTGCCACCGGGCCGGCCCCCTCAGTCATTTTTTGCGAAGCTCTGATTCCTTTAATGGGGAATGGCGTTTAGAAACCAAGTCTGAGTTCAAGGTGTGCTCATTCCTACTGGAGTGTTATTTGTCTCTTTTCTCTTTTAACTGAAAACTTTGGTTCCAACTAACATTACTATGTATACTTATCTGTTTTATCCTATTCCAAATTATTTTTTATTCTTCCTATCTAACTTCTCATTGCCAAATGAGCATCAAATGTTGACTTTTTAACTCTTTCATTCATTTCTTCTTTGATAAGGTGCCCCATGCTTTCAAATTAAGGAAAAAATACAGTCTCAGCTCTTTTAAATTCAAGGTTAACTTTTTTAAAGAAGCGCAGTGTTTTAAGTGCTTGTCTATGGCACTACCTTGATGTGTGAAATGATTCTTTGCTTTGGACTTCTGCTTGCAGGGGTTTGTTGCATCGGACCAGTGTCCCAAAGGACGTCGTTGATTATATCATCTTTGGCACGGTTATACAGGAAGTGAAAACAAGCAATGTGGCCAGAGAGGTCAGTAAAACAAACTTTAGATTGATTAAAGACATTGAGAGGAGAATCAATTTGAATTTCAACTAACAGAATTTACTCTTTAAAAGCTATTAAAATCCATTAAGTAAAGTTATGTTTGACTTAAAATGTGATTTTACAACTTGAATAATGAACATTATTGAATATTTAAAAGAATTATACTATAAATCAAATGAGGTACTCTATACTTAGTATAGTATACCATATAGTATATATTTTTACTATACTATAAATCAAATCAGTTGTTTCAGCTGGTTTGGGAATTGTTATTTGTCTATCTCTTGTGTTAGGAAAACAGACATTAGAGAAAACGTTTGGCTGATGTGACTTTTAATATTGTTAGATGTCATGGCTTCTAATTAACAACATTTCAAGATTTTGCAAAGAACTTATTTCATAGCGTGGTTTTTGTTGGAGGTAGCCTTGCTTATTCATTTGTTGCTGTTGACTAGATGACACATAGGGCAGTTTCTGTTTAAACGATTTCCCAGGAGTTTACTTTTACCCTAGTTGGCATAGCTACATGTAGTGTTCATTGCGTAGGTGAGATAATGACAGGCCTTGGAACTTCTGTGACATGTCCTACAGGCATTTCCTGGTGAATAATCCAAACATGTCTTCTGGGCTTTGTCTCAATTTGAAAGTGATTATTTGGATAAAGTTGGCTTCAAAGCACATTTCAGCATGCTAAGCATTTTCTTTATTTCTAGTCTGTGCTTGCCATCTTATTGGGCTTAGTATAGTTGTAAGGGCAATAACTTCCATCACTGTCAGCCAAGAGAGGGGAAAATGAGCAGGACTGAAAGTATTTGTTCTGCCGCACTTTTTACCAGTCAGTCAAAGTTAAAACTGCTGAAGGCCTAGCGTTACTGAAGCCCACAAAAATCAACTGCGTATTGGTAGGGGGTGCAGGAAAGAAATAAGAACAAGAAGAGGTTTTTTACCCCTCCTGGTTTTTATGTTTTTCTCTGGACCTGCACATTTCTAAATATATTGAATATGACAGTTTTGAGTACATCAAGCTATTCACATTTTCAACTTTTACATTTTGAAAAAAATAAAGTGACTCTTATAAGAGCACTTAAAAAGTAAATATTAAATCTGTTTCAATTTCTCTGTATTTCTATTGTAGTCTAACACTAAAGCCATCATGTTTTTCCCTAAATTCTTTTCTGAAAATTTTACATCCACATGCAAATCTCGGCTATTGATTGACATGAGGTAGATTCCCTCTTCCTGCCCTGTACTAATACCGGTTGTGCTGCACACTGGGTAATTTTTGCAGTGGCTGTGGGGAAAGATTGAGTTGCAGGGATAGGTTACAAGAATGTCTCTCTAAAGTTGTATTGTGACCTAAAAGCTAACATAACTTCCAGCTAGAGATTTTCTTTAGTACCTTTTGTCTTTATTAATAATGTTAATATGAAATCCTAGCTAATCCTAACTAATATGAAATCAACTCTGGTGCTGAGTTCCCATGAACCTGATTTTACTGAAAGGCCTCAGCAGGTTTCCCTGCTCTCTAACTTAACTAAGACGCACCTTCCTCCTTTCCCCTTAGTATACTCTCTAGAGCCTAAGCTTGCCTTGAGAGCTGTTCAACTTTAAATAGAAGCATGTGGACAAGGTTCACCAGCAACTACTTCTATTTAAAGCTCCTTCAGTCTTGAGAGTCAGCTGGCGCCAAGGATATAACGCATGCTAGAAAGGACCTCGTGAAGATCAGGCCATTACAACCTGAGTGCCCTTTACGTTGCCCCACTGGGCAGCTCTCCTCCCCTGCCCCTTGAAGACTTGCCTCTCTCTTCCTTTTGGATTGGTTTACATTGAGAGGCTGACATGCAGTTGCCAGGGTGTAGTTTTCAGCAAAGTCAGCTGGGCCCTTAGTATCAGGTCTGCCTGAAAAGACCAGAATAAGACATGTATGCTTCTGTAACACATTTATATTTCTATAGATTATCTAAGTAGTGTAACTATAAAGGTAAAAATCAGTTAAGAAACATTGAACCTCTTTAATCTCGACTTTGGAAACTTTTTTTTTTTTTTACCAAATTACAGGTGATCTTGTATTCTAAGGTTAATTAAATAATTTCAGAAAAAGGCCACTAAAAATGAATTCCTCTAATGGGAATCAGAATGTCATAGTAAATAGTGGTGGTGTTGCAGGGTTGTGGGTGGAGGTGAGAGCTTAATTTTAAAGTGAAACTTTAATGCTATAAAAATAAGTGGTATTTTATTGTTGCACCTATCCATTAATTCTTCACATAAACAAAACTGGAATCAGGCATTGATTGGTTTTTGGCAGCATAATTTCCCCAGTAAATAATAAAATAATAATTGTCCTTGTTTCGTGTTTGACTTTTACTGTGCCATCATAATAGATGCCATTTTGCAAGATTAATGGAGGGCCTCCGTTTTTCTCAAGGTTTCTTAAACTATTGTCTTTTGAAACACCTATTGTGTCATTGACCAGTCCAGTTTTCTGTTTTCCATTTGTTAACTGATCTAAACCTTATTTGTCAGAGGTTCACTTGTGGCTCGGGCAGTTTTCCCACGTTTCTTTCATTGACTTGAACTCTTGCATATTTGTCAAGTTTTCCAATTTGACTTTGCATTGGATCCACAGTGTGCTGTCTGAAGAATCAGACAGCCAGTGAGAGAGGCAGTGAGAGTAGAGTGTAAAGTGGGAACTCTGTTTGTGGGTGGTCAATTCTGTAGAAATTGTTTTCATGTTTGATGACTTTGGCTTTACTACTAAGCCTTAATAATTATAGGAACACAAATCATGAGGCTGTCACCCTATGATATAGTTCATCATTCCATCAGCTGTATTTAACAGATTTACTGTAGGTTTTTTGAAAATTTAAACAAGTTAAAATCAAATCATATATTGATATCCTTGAAGGCTCTGAGAAAAGCACTGCTAAGAAATTAGGTGAGCTAGAAGAGGATGTAGCCCTGTGTACCACACTAGAAAACGGGTGCCAGGAATTTGGCAGAGTGCTTATCAGTGAAGGGCTAGATGAAAAATTAGTAAACCATTTCTGGATGGGCTTTTAAACATTACTCTGTGGAGTATTAAACTCAAACTCTTTCCTGATTTACCACATAGTGAAGTAGTGCTCAAAGCATCATTTGCATGTAGCACTTCTTTATAAGTGACCATTTCGTTCACTGTATTTCCTGAAGGCCGCCCTTGGAGCTGGCTTCTCTGATAAGACTCCTGCTCACACTGTCACCATGGCTTGCATCTCTGCCAACCAAGCCATGACCACAGGTATGTCTGCTTAAAAGTAGGAAGTACATGTTCATTCTCCTTTGTCTTTTATATGATCATAAAAAAGTACTTTTCACAGAAGTAAATGATTAGCAGGGATCTCTGAATTTGTGTTTTTAAAAAAATAAGGTAACATTTAAAATTTTTGATTTTGACAGTAGTTCTCAACCTTTTTCTTGCTCTCTATACCTGAGAGACACAACCATTCGTGTAGTTTCTCCATCAGTAATGTGGCTGGCTCTAGCAGGGAATTATCAACTGGAGGAATATGTCTCTAGGAAGGGGCTTCTGAATCTGAGGCGTGGATAGTTTATAACCTGCTAGGTTTTACACCTGGGTGATTCTAATATGATACTTCCCCAGGAAGATTGTGGCCCTCTTCTCTCTACCATTGCCATAGTGATAAATCACTGCTTTAGATGGTACAACTCTTTCCTCTACTTTCTCCCCACATCCTTGGCATTTTTATGACTAGTTACAAATTCTCCTAACAAACTTTAGCAAAATTTTGGGACATTTTGTAGCATCAGTGCTTACTGTGAAAAGATAGGAAACCTGAAAGATACAGTAATCACATGTTCTCTTAGTAACATCAAGGCCAGGTTGGGCAGCCTACCCCATGGGTGGCAGGGAATGAAGCCAGAGGCAGTGTTGGGGGCATTCTCCACTCGACCCAGCATGTGACCACTCCCAGGTAGAGGAACAGAATACTTGCCAGGGACCATAAAGAGGGAGGGGGATGTCTTACATCTCAAAAGCCAGAATTTCTTCAACTTGTAGTAGAAATTAAAATTCACTTTATAATAAAAAGAAAATCTGAAAACTAAAGCTGGGAGCATACAAAATATGCTAAAAGTTCTGGTTTAGAATATGATTTGTTTGAGTTGGTCTGGTGGATATTTCCAGAAGTTGATGTCCTTATGGCCTGAATGAAACTTGTTTTTCTCTAGTGTATTGAATGTAGTTTTAGTCGTTTAAAAAGATTATCTTTGTACAACAGCAGATGTTGTACAAAGCTGATAACTATCGTACAACTTTTTAATCAAGAAGCTTAAATGATCAGTGATCTCTTAATTTCTGCAGAAGATGTTCACGTTCATATGACCTGTGCCCTGTAGGTGTTGGCTTGATTGCTTCTGGCCAGTATGATGTGGTCGTGGCAGGTGGTGTAGAGTTAATGTCTGACGTCCCTATTCGTCATTCAAGGAAAATGAGGAAAATGATGCTTGATCTCAATAAGGCCAAGACCCTGGGTCAGAGACTATCTTTAATCTCTAAATTCAGATTGAATTTCCTATCACCTGAGGTAAGACTTGTGAACTCTTTCATAACGACTTATGTGTCCAAAGCATCCCACTGCAGAGATTTAGAATTAGGTGAGACAGCATGGGTTCAGTTATATTCTAATAGTTGGAGATTCTGTTAGTTACACAATGGGAAGGGTTAATGATTTGGTCATGATGAAAAATAAAAGGTAGTGGTTAGAGAATTTGTAACCTCTTTAGGATTTAGAATTTGCACCTCTTTAGAGATGCCCTGCTCACAAAGAGCTTCCTTGTCTGGGTCTTGATTGCTAGTAGATGTTAACTTTCCCATAACCCTAGGTGTGGTGAAACACCTGTTAACAGGTACCTGATCCCGTATGTCTCCTTTCCCAGCTCCCTGCAGTGGCTGAGTTCTCCACCAATGAGACCATGGGCCACTCTGCAGACCGACTGGCCGCTGCCTTCGCTATTTCTCGACCAGAACAGGATGAGTACGCGCTGCGCTCGCACAGCCTGGCCAAGAAGGCACAGGATGAAGGACTCCTTTCTGATGTTATACCCTTCAAAGTACCAGGTAAAACAGTCTGCTCAACTTTGTAAAGGGGAATGCATCGTGATATTTGTTAGGGACTTCTGAATTGCTCCTAAAACTCTGAAAACCCTAAATGACTTTTCAGTAAATATGTTTTGGTTCTGTTTCCAAAATACTCAGCCTTTATTCTTTTTTTTTTTTTTTTAAAGATTTTTTATTTATTTAATTTTTTCCCCCCAAAGCCCCAGTAGATAGTTGTATGTCATAGCTGCACATCCTTCTAGTTGCTGTATGTGGGACTCGGCCTCAGGATGGACGGAGAAGTGGTGCCTCTATGCGCACCCGGGATCCGCACCCGGGATCCGAACCCGGGCCACCAGCATTGCAGTGCGCGCACTTAACCACCAAGCCACAGGGCCGGCCCTCAGCCTTTATTCTTAAACATGGACTCAAGTTTTAATTTATGTTGTAACAATAGGAAGAGAACAATAGGAACTTCAAAAGAGAAGTTTTTATAAGAGTCTCCTTTTAGATCTTCCTGATATATTTTAGTTCTTATGTACATGCCTACTTTTTAAATTCTTCATTCATATGACTTCTGTATAGAACAGCTAAATGTGAATGAATATCCTAAGAAAATAAGGTGTCCTTTTTTTTGTTAAATCATTTAGATATAACATTTAGATTTCCCAAATACCTTAAGAGTTGAATTTAAAATTTGGTAATATCTTGATAACTATAAAAGCCTTTCTTTCAGCAAGTAGGTATGGTTTTCATTTGTTCGTTAGTTTTTAAAACATATTTCTCTAGAGAACATATATAATGCTTGTAGTTCCTCAGAGTTAAAAAGTTCATGTTTTTACAGGAAAAGATACAGTTACCAAAGATAATGGCATTCGTCCTTCCTCCCTGGAGCAGATGGCCAAACTAAAACCTGCATTCATTAAGCCCTATGGCACAGTGACAGCTGCAAATTCCTCTTTCTTGGTAACTATGTGTGCTTTGTGTATTTACTAGTGACTTTCATAGTTGTGTACTCTCAGTAGAAAGGTGTGAAATAGATTTGTTTATATTATGAATAGAGAATTAAAAATATAGTTATTCATTATAAAGATAATATTAAAATAGAATCATAGTTTTTAAGGCCTTAGAAGTCACCATTCTCATACAGAAAGCTATTCTCTTCAGGCACTTAACCCGTCAAAAAACTTTGATTGCCACTAAGCATTGGAGGTTAAAAGAACAGATGATTGTAATATAGAGAGAAAGTGCTGTGGTGGCTGTAAGCATAGGTTGCTGTAGAAGATACATAGATGGGGGAGTCAGAGACGCTTCTCAGAGGAGCTAACACTTGAGCAGCAAATTTTGAAGGATGAGTACAAGCCAATTCAGGAAGTGTGTAGAACACATTCTGGGCAAAGAGAAGAGCAAATGCAAAATCAGGGAGGTATGAGAGCAAGGGCCTCTTTGGGGAAAAGCTTGGCTGGAGCAGAGGATATGAATCTGGGAGGTCGTATAAGACATGGAAAGTAGGCAGAAAGAGTGATAAGACACCTCTTCTGGCTCTGATTGTTAGAAAGGGTACTTTATACTGACCCCCACGTTATTTTCCTCTAAGCATCACGGAATAAATCTACCCTCATTTTTTGTTGTTATTGTTTTACTTATCTGCAGCTAGTTTCATATCCTTCCTTGTTTTTTTTGGCTCCTCCTCAATTAAACATCCCTATTGATTTTGCTTCTGCCTGTAAGATGTGGTTTCCCTTCTCCTACCACCTTGGGTGTAGTCTTCTGGATATAGTCCATCTGTTCACTGTTTCTTTTGCAATATAACTCCCCTACCCGGACATAAAGTCTGAAACATAGACAAATGTTTGACATATTTGACCTTGGTAAGTGACTATTTAATGCCTGCTTTTGGGCTAGGGGAAGGGTGCTTGGAGTGGTTCCAACAGGATGCTACACCACTCCATTAAGCCCAAGTGGTAAAGGACTGGTTAGATGATCATTTCAAAAACCATATTGGATGATAGGGTCATATGGCATGGGCTACACTCTTGCCAGATCTGAACCCTTTTGATTACTTCTGGGGTGTGCTAAAGGTGCAGGTTTATTCATTGAAAACCAGAAACACAAATCATCAGAGGCAACATAGCACAGGTATGTGGATTTTTGGAAGTGTGTTAATGCACCACATTCATTGCAGTTTTGCACAATGGCACATTGAACATATTATTAAAGTAATGTCCATAAACCATTTATTATGTATAGTCACCTATGTTTCCAGACTTTATGGCTGCCCTATTGGAGGTGGCCACATAGTCTCTTCAGGGTTACTGAGTTATAAAAGTGTAGTAGAATTGTTTTAATTTTGCAAACTCTACAGAATAGTTTCCTTTTCTTTGGAATTTTGGATTTTTTTTTTTAATTTTTGGAGCTCTTTCTTTTGAAGTAATGATAAAGAGATTTTTTCAGTGGTACTTTGTCCCCCAACTTCTCAACTGTCAGTTGGGAAAAAGCACATGGGGTGTGTCCAGAGAGAAGATCATGGTTCTGATGTTCTCAGCTGCCTGCCTGTTTCTCTCTCCCATTGGTTTGCTTGTTATAGAGTCTATAAGGAGAAGAAAATCACCCAGAAGCCACAGGCAGGAAGCAGCTGAGAAATAGTCCAGAAAATGTAAAAATAAATAAGTAAATAAGAAATTGTTTTAAATCATAAAATTCCCCATATTCTGCACCAAAAGCAGAAGACTTTTGGTTTAAGTTTACTGTGAATACATATTTCTAAAGTTACCTATTTTCTTCATCCATTTTGGTAATTATGGTACTTTTTGAATAGGCTCTTCTACCCTCATCCTCCAAAAATGGGTCCATGTGTGTGTGTGAATTGTGACTTCATGGATAAAATGAAAAGGTTTTGTTATAATCACTGTATAAGTATAATTAGTTGATAGATTTAGGAACAGGCCATAGAAGGTGGCTGTTGGAAGACCTCCAGACTGGCTGAAGAATTTAACATTATTGTCCTGGTTGACGTTTCAGACCGACGGTGCGTCTGCAGTGCTGATTATGGCAGAGGAGAAAGCTCTGGCCATGGGTTATAAGCCGAAGGCATATTTGAGGTGAAGTAAATGTGCAAATAAATTGCCTCTGGTTTTTTATTTAATTACTGGTGCTAACCCCTCTTTTTTTTTATTTTTTACCTAGGGATTTTGTGTACGTGTCTCAAGATCCAAAAGATCAGCTTTTACTTGGGTAGGTGCAGTGTATATCCTTGGACTATAATCAAAAATATTTGATTACCCACATTTATTACACAGATTTTAAAGTATGTTAAGCCCTGAGTTTGTAATTGGTTTGTGTGTTGGATTTTTTTAAAATAATAATCCTTTGTGTTGGTATATCATTTTATAGTTTTAGATTCTTTTCCACCTTTTCCTATACATTTCTGCTTATCTATACAATATTGTATTCTTTTTTCAGTAAGCTGTCGTAAGCATTGTTTCATATTGCTACACACTCTGCTACACGATCTTCAGAACAGCCTTTTAGAAAAACCTTCTCATGTTTAGACTGTCCCCCCAATAAGGCTCTGCCCTCACTGGCCTTCATTATGTCCTTCAAACTAGCCCTCCCTGTGCTTTGCCCTTTGAGCTCAGTGTTCTTCTCGCTCTTCACATTATTAGTTTGTCGTTCTCTTTCATTGTTTACTTATTATCTGCTTCTCTGACCCTAAAATATAAACTGCATACGGGCAGAGCCATGTCTGTTCAGTTCACCGTTGTATCCCCAACACTTGGTCAGTATTTGTACAGCAGAATCAGTGAATGAGTGGAGGACGTTCTAATACCTGTATAAAACTCAGTGTGGGGAATATGAAGGGCTCTTAGGTTAAAAAATACAAGTTTTAACATATTACTTATTTTTTCTTTTCAGACCAGCATATGCTACTCCAAAAGTTCTAGAAAAGGCAGGGTTAACAATGAATGATGTTGATGCTTTTGAATTTCATGAAGCTTTCTCAGTAAGTCATTTTAAAGACACATATCAAGGACTATAATCGTAAAAAAATGTGGTCCATGTTGGTGGGAGAGAACAAGTCGTAGTTTATAATATGAGTAAAACAGGAGTGGAGCTTTATGTCTGAGGTACTGATCTGCTCTGCTGGAAGGGGCGTAAGGGGAGGAAATTGAGGGCCACACGTACATTGATGAAAAATGTACCTTTTGAGGCTATCTCCTAGAGGCCCATCAAAAGTACCAAATTGTTTCTTTGGGAAATTTTCACTGAAAACTGATTTAAAGATTTGCTCAACTTTAAAATCAGACAAACTCATGCCTAAAAGAAAGCCTTAAGGGACATTAATAACAAGGTCCTTGTTGAATTGTTTTCCCTTCTAGGGTCAGATTTTGGCTAATTTTAAAGCCATGGATTCTGATTGGTTTGCACAAAACTACATGGGTAGAAAAGCCAAGGTAAGTTTCTGATTAAAAATATGTTTGAATTTCCAAAGCATTTTAATATCTGGAGCTTAGTTACCTGCTAATAAAAGTATGAGGGGAAAGCTTCTCCTTCTTATGAAGAATTTTGTGTTTCATTAAATATATTTATTTCTTAGTTGAAAATAGTTCCTGGAAATTCTTTAGAAGAAATAAAAGCAAAGTTCTAGATTGTCTTTTGTTCTTCTCTTAGATGATGTTAGATGAAAAATAAATGGACCCTTGGCTTTTAGAATTGATCTAGAATTTCTTTCTTTTGCACTAACATAATTTGTGATGTGTCTTATGTTAGTTATTTCCCTCTGTCCCTGTTACTCCCTGTTACTAAGAGCCTGGCCTGCTTCTTATCTTAAGGAAACTCATCTTTATGTTTGTGTCTGTTTTTGTGGGAGCCAGGTGGGATTGCCTCCTTTGGAGAAGTTTAACACCTGGGGTGGATCACTGTCCCTGGGACACCCGTTTGGAGCCACTGGCTGCCGGTTGGTCATGGCAGCTGCCAACAGATTACGGAAGGAAGGAGGCCAGTATGCTTTAGTGGCTGCCTGTGCAGCTGGAGGGCAGGTATGTCATAGCAGGTCCACAGGAGCTTCCGGAAAGTCATTTTCTTTGAAACAAAGCAAGCTCATCCAAGAATGTTTGATTTAGTTTAGTTTGAAACATTCTTAGAGTGATATTTCCGGTGACAGATAACCAGAAATAAAGCAGCCCATTTTGGGGGGGAGAGGAGTACAACTTTGATTCTGATAGTACTTTGGAAGGAAGATGCTATTTAAATCCAAGCTATTGTTTTTCCTAAAATAATGTTTACGTTTTTGTTTTTAGAGGTAATATATGCTCATTATGGAAATACAAAAAGTATATAGGAAAAAAATTAGAATCACCTATAATCCCCTTACCAGACACTATCATTATTAATCTTTTGATATATTTTCTTCTTTAATAATAAAATTTTGTTTATCTAGTCACCATGAGACCTTATTTATAAAATCTCTCCAAGAAGAACACTACCTTTCTGGAGAACTGTACTATACTTTAATTGGAGAATTAATTTATCTCTGGATAACTTATTGCTGTTTAGCTGGGGGAAATTGTGTTATTCTAGATTTTTCCTGTCTGCCTCACTTGCGTTACAGACCCAACTTCCTACCTGCTATAGCATTTCACTCTGATAATAAAATCCAAAAGGAAGACTGGCTGTAATCTGTTTTTTTTTTTTTTTTAACCCCGATGAGAACAGTTTTGTGTTCCTCCAGATTACAGAAATTTTCTGTTGTTGATCAAGGTGAATAAATAAGATATGTAAAAGCATAAACATCTTACGTTCAAAAGCCTTTATTTATGGCTTTTCCTCAGAGACTTTGAAGAAACAAGGGATCAGTTATTTATAGCTTGGAACATTTTAGACTTCATGATCAAAAGCAATTTTTAATCTGTGTAACTTCATGTTTAGAAAACTGTAGCCAGTTAGGACAGCACTTTGCATAGTCCACATAGGTTAATGTCCTTTGGTTTTGAATGTTTGTTCCCTAATTTTTTATCTAGCACATAGAGTATAAAGAACACAATACTAGATGGTTTTGTGGATAAACAAAGAATAATACCCAGTACCTTTCTTCTAGAAGTTTACAGTATAGTGAGGAGAGAGGAAATGATGCATCTTAGAAACTAGATTAAACTTGGCATGTTTCTTCAAGAGCCAAATGAGTGATACAAACGTGATTAGGTCAGAGGAGGAATCCGGCATTGTGGATGTAGAGCGGGCTTTCTCAACTTTGGCACTATCAACATTTTGGGCCAGACACTTCTTTGTTGTGGGGAGTTGTGCTGTGTGTTGTAGGATGTTGAGCATGGTGTCTACCTAGGAGGTACCAGTAACAACACGCCCACCCCCACCCCCTTACATGCACGGTTGGGACAACCAAAAATATTTCCAGACAATTGTCCTCTGAGGAGGGTGGGGGGCAAAATTGCCCCCAGTTGGGAACCACTGATCTAGAGCAATATAAAAGATTTTGGAACATGAAAACAATGCATTTTAAAGAAGCTGCCTTGTTATGGGCCCTTCTCAGATAACCCCAGTCAGTCAGACCTTCCCATCCTTTTCTTTTTTGTTTGCCTCTGCCTTTATCCAGGTATTTAACCATTTGTTCTGCCCTACAGTGTACACTAGATTGAGGACAGAGACTGTGCACCTACACAGTGTTCACCTTGGTGCTTTATAAATAATAGTTGCTTAATAAATATTTGTGGGGATTGAATTGAACCTAGAAGCAGGCAGATTAGTTAGGTTATTAACTGGTCTGATGGCAGTCCAAGAGATAGAATGACTGGGATTATCAGATAGGACTTAGCCTCATGAAATCATACATTTCTATGCTAGGTTTAAACTAGGGAGTTAACTAATACATAGCACTGTGCATAGTGCTGGAGAAAGGATTGTCTGCCTTCTTACTTTGTGGGCTCTCTGATCATCTTCTTCACTGGAGTAGAATAGTGAAGGAGATCCCAGGCTTTCTGGAATCCTCTAGACCTGGTTTCAAATCCTGGCCCTGTTACTTAATAGCTTTGTAGATTTGAATGAGTTACTTCACCTTTCAAAGCCTCTGTTTTCTCGTCTAGAAATTTACTTTTTTGGCATTCACCATATCGTGTTTATTTTTGTACAGGTAAAAAAATGCTCCTATGGTCTCTTGTTTTAATAGCAGCCATTTATGGAGCATCTATGAGGAATCAGACTACTACACAGACTGATGTATATATGTATACATGTATGTATATAAATGTGTCTGTGCATAGAGACACACACACGTATTATATGCTATCTAATTTAATGCTCACAAAAACACTATGAAGTAGGCACCATGAACCCCATTTTATAGAGGAAACTGAGGTTCAGAATGGCTTATAACTTTCCCAGGATCACACAGCGTTTGCATGTTAGTGCCAGGATCAAACCCCAAAGCCTGTTCTCTTCCCATTGTTCTCTGCTGTCTTCGTGCTGACTGGATTCGTAGTCTTTCATTGCTCTAATTGAACTTTTTTTCCCCTTTACAGGGCCATGCTATGATAGTGGAAGCTTATCCAAAATAACAGATCAGGAAGAGGTGACCTGGAGTTTCTGTGCAACACTCACACTAGGCAATGCCATTTCAATGCATTACTAAATGACATGTGTAGTTCCTAGCTCCTCTTAGGAAAACAAAATTTGTGGCCTTCTGTTTGCAATGAAGCCTTGCCAGTGTTCTGAGCTTTTCAGTAATCATGGCTTACTGCTCTTTCAGGGATTTCTTAGTCACCAGAATCTCACACAGTGATACTTTTAAGCAATTGTTTTGTCTCTATTTTCATTAAAGACTAAATAAGTAGTTGCAATTTGGAATTATCTTTGTAACATTTGCAAATCCTGCTCATTCCTATTTGTGACCTAACAATAAGTGTTTTCTATAAAATACAAACCAGTGTGCCTAAATTAACTTAATTATGGAAAGATAATTCAGAATCGAAACATCATTGAAAACTTATAGTGAATATTTGGATATATAAATATCGTCTTGGTTAAGCTTAATAAAGTAGAAGTACTGGAAAGCTGTGTGTCTTATTTGTTATTAGAGGTAACAGGTGGTTCTCTTGGCTTAGGGGAAGATTTTGCCTTTGGTCACTCATCTGTAACTTCTACCCAGTTTAGTCAACCCTGTGGCTGCCAGGAACATACAGAGGGTCCTGCTTTAGAATAACACTTTTTTTTTCCAGTGCTTGATTGAAGTAAATTTATTTCACTGTTGGGAGATGCTTCTGTTTGCCAGGATTTAAATGAAGTGTAAGGAAATTTTTAAATTTTGATCAACAGACTAAAAATCCTCTCGGGTTTTTGATAGCCAGACTGCACTAAATCACATGTATGCTGGTGTTTTGAGGAAGCAAAAGTCTTAGTCGTGGCCATTGATGTGAATGTTGCTTAGGTGTCTGAGAGTTACTGGCCATCAGAATCATCCTCTAGTTCGGGGACAGATTGGGCAGGGGAGGAAGTGCTGTTTGACGGACCCAGCATCACTTCCCTGTGATTTCTTTGGGAATTTCAATGTAATGCAAGTTTTTAATACTGAAAACCAGTATATTTACGTACATATCACAAAAATCAACTCTGGATAAATATAAAGGTAAAAAACTTTTTGAAATTTAGAAAAAAATACCACTATGACCTTAGGTTGGGGAGAGAGAGAAGGGGATTTCTTTTTTTGTTGTTTTTATTTGGCTGGGAGAGATTCGCCTTGAGCTAACAGCTAACATTTGTACCCAATCTTCCTCTCTGTCTCTCTCTCTCTCTCTTTTTTTTCCCTCCCCAAATCCCCAGTACATAGTTCTAAGTCCTTCTAGTTCTTCTATGTGAGCCGCTGCCACAACATGGCTACTGACAGATGAGTGGTGTGGTTCCATGCCTGGGAACCGAACCTAGGCTGCCGAAGCCCAGAGCGCCGAACTTGAACCACTAGGCCACCAGGGCTGACTTGAGAAGGGGATTTCTTTTTTTTTTTTTAATTTTTTTATTGATGTCATAATAGTTTATAACATTGTGAAATTTTAGTTGTACATTATTGTTTGTGAATCACTGTATAAACGCATCCTTCCCCCCCTTATGTCCACCCCCTAACCCCCTTGCCCCTGGTAACCACCAAATAGTTCTCTCTGTCCATGTCTTAGTTTATCTTCCACTTATGAGTGGAGAAGGGGGTTTCTTAAACAAGACATTTAAAGTGCTAATCATAAAAGAAAAGATCTATAAATTTGTCTATGATGAAATAAGAACTTTTGTTCTTATTTTGTATTTTTTTTTGTGAGGAAGATCAGCCCTGAGCTAACATCCGTGCTAATCCTCCCCTTTTTGCTGAGGGAGACCGGCCCTGAGCTAAACTCTATTGCCAATCCTCCTCCTTTTTTTCCCCAAAGCCCCAGTAGATAGTTGTATGTCATAGTTGCACATCCTTCTAGTTGCTGTATGTGGGACGCGGCCTCAGCATGGCCAGACAAGCGGTGCGTCGGTGCGCGCCCGGGATCTGAACCCGGGCCGCCGGTAGTGGAGCACATGCACTTAACTGCTAAGCCACGGGGCCAGCCCCTGTTCTGATTTTGATAGAGTGAAAAGACAAGCAAAAAATGGGGCAAAGGTATAGATGTATCTTAGAAAGGATAGATATATATCTTATATATGTTGTAGAGATGTATCTTACAAGATATTTGATATAGCTATATCTTACAGAGGTTCCAGAATATATAAAGAATTCTTCTAAATAAGAAGAAAGAAAACAGTAAAAAATGGGCAAAAGATATTAACAGTTTTTAGAAAATAATATACAAGTGGAGAATAAACATGAAAAGATGCTCACTAGTAATCGAGAAAAATTAAATGAAGATCACAATGAGATAGTATTTTATACTCACCAGACTGGCAAAAATGGACAAGACTGAGCATACCAAGTGTTGGTTAGGATGTGGAACAATAGGAACTTATGTACACTGCTGGTGAGACTGCAAATTGATACAACCACTTTGGAAAGTCATCTGGCATTATCTTGTACCTTTGAATATGACACACGGTCTGTAACCCAGCATTTCCACTCTTAGGTATATTTCCAAAAGAAACTTGCACACGAGTACTAGGAGACATGTACAAGAGTGTTCATAGCAACATTGCTCTTTAATAGCAAAACATTGTAAATAATGAATGTTCATTGACAGGAAAGGTTAAAAAACAAGCAAAACAGTACATTTCTAGGATGCCTACATATGAGGTAAAAATATTTTCTAAAACAGTTAAGGGAAGAGAAAAGAGAAATCTTTCTTGCAGAAGAATTCCAAATAATGTATGTAGATACTCCATGCTCCAGGAGGTGGATCAGGCCCCTTCCCCTTGAGTGTGGGCTGGACTTAGTGACTCAACTCCAGTGAATAAGTATGAAAAGGGAAAATGAGGCAACCTTACAGTGGAGAAACCTGGGAAACACTAGCTTAACCAAGTGGCCAGGGTTAACATCATCAGTGCTGTCCTGTGCCATCACATATCTCCTGTGATGTAATCAGAGAGGCCCTTCACCTTAGTGGTATTCTTTCCAAATACCCATAACCCAGTCAAATAGAAAGCATCAGACAAACCCAAATTGAGGGACATTCTACAAAATACTTGACAAGTACTCAAAACTGTCAAGGTCCTGAAAAATGAGGGACTGAGAAACTGACAGGTCAGAGGAGGCTAAAGAGACATGACAACTACATGTAACATGGTATCCTAGATTGGATTCTGAATAGGAAACGGACACTAATGGAAAAACTGGTGAAATCCAAATAAAATCTGGAGTTTAGTTAATAGTTAAAAAAAGCCCAGAAATAAACCTTCACATATGTGGTCATATATGGTCAAATAATTTTTGACTAGGGTGCCAAGACCATTCAATGGGGAAAGGACAGTCTTCAACAAATGGCGTTAGGAAAACTGTGTATCCACATGCAAAAGAATGAAGTTGGACCCTTACCTTATATCATATACAAAAATTAACTCAAAATGGATCACAGACCTAAACTTAAGAGCTAAAATTGTAAAACTCTTAGAAGAAAACAGAGGAAAAGCTACATGACATTGGATTCGCAGTGATTTCTTGGGTATGACACCAAAAGCACAGGCAACAAAAGAAAAAAATAGGTTAAATTGGACTTCATCAAAATTAAAAACTTCTGTGCATCAAAGGACACAGTGAAAAGGCAACCTATGGAATGGGAAAAAATATTTGCAAATCATATATCCAATAAGGAGTTAATATCTGGAATAAAGAATGCCTACAACTCAACAACCAGAAAAACAACCCAACTTGAAAATGGGCAAAGACTTCGAATAGACATTTCTCTAAAGAAGACATAGAAATGACCAATAAGCGCATGAAAAGATGTTCCATATCACTCATCCTTAGGGAAATGCCAATCAAAACTACAAGAGATACCACTTCACACCCATTAGAATGGCTACTATCAAAAAAACAGAAAATAACAAGTGCTGGTGGTGATGTGGAGAAATTGAAACCCTTATGCACTGTTGGTGGGAATGTAAAATGTTGCAGCAGCTATGGAAAACATTATGGCACTTCCCCTAAAAGTTAAAAATAGAATTACCATATGATCCGGCAATTCCACATGTAGATATATACCCAAAATAATTGAAGATAGTCTTGAAGAGATATTTGTACATCCACGTTCACAATAGCCAATAGGTGGAAGCAACCCAAATGTACATTGATGGATGAATGGATAAACAAAGTGTGTATATACATACAATGGAATACTATGCAACCTTGAAAAGGAAGGTAAACCTGTCACAAGCTACAACATGGACGAACCTTGAGGACATTATGCTAAGTGAAATAAACCAGTCACAAAAGGACAAATACTGTATGATTCCACTTATATGAGGTATCTAAAATAGTCAAGTTCATAGAGACAGAAAGTAAAATGACAGTTGCCAGGAGTTGAGGTGAGAGGGAATGGGGAGTTATTTAATGGGTCTAGAGTTTCAGTTTTGAAAGATCAAGGGTTCTGGAGATTGGCTGCACAACAATGTGAATGTACTTAACACTACTGAACTGTACACTTAAAAATGGTTAAAATGATAAATTTTGTCTTTTACCACATTTAAAAATAATTTTTTTTTTTTTTATAAAGGTGAGGGAAAATATTCAGAACAGAGCTTACCTCTGGTTGGGGGGCAGTGGAATTGGATTGGAGAGGAGCATACAGGTAGCTTCAGTGGTGTTGCTCAAGTTCTAGTTCTGAGGTTGGATCATACGTCCACCCAAATTTACGTAGGTGATATACTATTTCAAAACATTCTATATATGTAAGAGAAGGCCAAGTTATTTTCATTTGCATGACTGCCACAAAAGATCACCCACAGCCAAGGTGGTGGTTGCAGATGCCTCCATCTGATGTAAACCTTGATGTTTGCTCTTAGATATCTTAAACTGGTTATGCTATTCTTAAAGATCCCAATTTAAGTGCCTATCTTTTCGTGTAAAACTGATGGTCTCTGATTCTGAGTAAAAGTTCATGTTCTTCCTATGGTCTATATAGTTCATTCATTCAACAAATACTTATTGAGTGCCCATTATGTGTTAAGCACTGTTCTAGATGTTGAGGCTACAGCAACCAAAGAAACAGACAAAAATTCTTACCCTCTTTGCTTCCATCTTTCCAAAGAGAAGAATCCTAATTCTTCTCGGCCTATCTTCTCCCCAATCCGTTCTGTTATGTTTATTTTCTCCAAGCCTCTCAAATTCTGGTCTTTCTCGGGGAGTGAAAAGCAGTAGAAGGGTTTTTCAGTCTTTTTCAGATTTTAATGGATGGCTCAGAGGGCTTCTGCCTAGATCCGCTGTGATTTCCAGGGATCCCCCGCTATCTGAAAGTTCGCTTTACGTCACCTCGCTTTCATAAAAGATCTACTTTAGTACCTGTTTTCACTAACAGAAAGAAATCCTAAGAAGATTTTCGCTTTTGGGAAAATAGAGGCAGCACGCAACCCAAGCAGTGAGAGTGGCGCCACCAAGTTCCTTCCCCGGGAACTACACTCAGCATCTCAGCATCAAACCACCATAGCTTTGAACTATGTCTGTGACATCCATCTGTGCTTTACCTCGAGTTATTTTGGTAGGTTATTTTTTGGGTCTGAGAATGCTAAAAAAAAATTTCCCATATAAATGAATGGTAATTCTTTCTTCGCTTTAGGCCGTTTCGGCTTATGAAATGTTTCACAGGAATGCTCGGCTGTCAGATTGCTGGGTAAACCTGTATTTGGGACTCTGAACAGGTATACTCCGCTTTTCCAATGAAGCCCTCTTCATTGAAATGAAGCCCTTAATCATTGATTAAGAGGAAATGGGAGAATGTGAGGGTGGAAGGACAAAAATAGTAAGTAGAAATACGTGTCTGAAAAGACACATCATTGTGAAAGAGAAGAGGTATTTAGACATGTTGGCAATGTTTGTAGCTGCAATGAACTCAGCTAGGAGCCCCTTTCCCCCTCCATACTTAAAGGGCTGTCAGTGATCAAACAGAATTGATTCCCAAAGCAGAACTCCAGATAGGGAGTTCAAAGCTTCCTCAGGAACCCCTAAAGTAGTCTACCCTTCTGTACAAACCTAAATTCCAGGAGGTATATTGTTTGTGTTTCTTTGCTTGTCAAGTTTCTATTTTTAAATAGGCAAAATGTTCAGGGGAACTTTTTCAAAATCATTTTATTTTTTTCTAATATAAAAATACATGCTCATTGTAAAAAAAATTTCAAACATTATTTATAGAGTAAGTAGAAAATGAAATATCAAGTAGAGATATCCACTGTTAATGTTTTGATATCTTTCCTTTTCAAGGCACACATATTTGTATGGACATATGGACCAAAATTGCATAGTATAATGGCATTCTGGAAACTTTTTGTTTTACTTAGCTATGTAGTCTAAACATCAGTAGGTGTAGCTATACATCATCATTTTTAATGACCACAAAGCATTCCTTTGTACGGACTTATCCTAATTTGTTTTACCAAGTGCCTCTTTTTTGAGGATGCAGACATGGGAATGCACATTCTTGGTACATTTATCTGTTCACTTGTCTGCTTATTTTTTTTTTTTTTTTTTTAAAGATTTTATTTATTTATTTTTTCCCCCCAAAGCCCCAGTAGATAGCTGTGTGTCATAGCTGCACATCCTTCTAGTTGCTGTATGTGGGACGCGGCCTCAGCATGGCCAGAGAAGCAGCGCGTCGGTGCGAGCCCGGGATCCGAACCCGGGTCGCCAGCAGTGGAGCGCGCTCACTTAACCACTAAGCCACGGGGCCGGCCCTGTCTGCTTATTTCTTTAAGCCATCTTTTTAGCAATGGAATTGCTGCTAAATCTCACTTTCTTATATTTACCACCAGAGCCTTCTTTTTCAATCCTTTTTTTTTAATGATGAGAGCCAGGTGAACAAAGGCTTAATGTCATTTCATTTATTAATTCTAAAGTGTGTTTTTAGCAGCAAAGCATGCATTGAGTATGTGCAATCATTTGAGAAGGAAAATGAGAACACAAACATCTACAAAATCATACTCAGAAAAGGGGTCTCTGCTCCTTCTAAAGTGAAAGTGGATTATTTGATTATTCAAAAAATAATTTTATGATTTTAAAAATTAAGACTGTAAATATTAATAAAGTGAAAGTGAAATTGAGACATGACTCTGTTGCTGGGGAAACCAGCAAGGCAAAGTCTTCTCTGTTCAGTAGCTGCCTGCCTCGCGTGTGGGTTGGAACGAGTACCGGGCGTAGAAACATTGCAATTGCCTGGTGAGTTGGTGTCTTCTCTTTGCAAGAATGATTGAATCTATTTAGAGAAATATTTGGGCTGGTTTATACACAATTAAAATATTTACACAAATCATTAAGTGAAAATATAGTGTTCACAAGAAAAATGTTTTCAACAGCATGTGGTGGCATATCCATTTTTATTTCAACAGAAAGCATTCTCATTCCATTTTATAAAAATACCCATGAATTTTGTAATTAACAAAGACTCATTCATCAGAATTTTTTCATTTATCTAGTTTAAACATTTTTCAGAATCCTCTCATCATCCGTTTGCAGATTCCATAAGTTAATTCAGTTAGACGTCTTGGTGTCCTCTAAAGGCTTTTCTTAAATATTCTCTATATCTAGTCTTAGCTTGATCCTGTCACTTTTAAATGTCAGTGTTTTGTCATCTTTTCTCCTTAACTCTTGGCAGTCTGTGGTACCTTTCTTTCTACTTTAAAATTTATAACATATTCTTACAAATGTGCTCATATCAGTGACTTTTTGTGTACATGCACATGTCTATGAAACTTACAATTTTTGTTGATTTTTTTAAAGAAAGAGGGGCCTATTAATTTCACTTTTTCCTAAACTTCGAAAAGAAACAAACCAAAATTCTGCCCTTCACTGCCAGTGTTTGGAAGATCAGAATTCCTGCAATTAAGTCATCCTTTCTTCGTAACTATAAAGAAGAAATAATCAGAAAAGAAATCACTGAATAGTTAAAACCGTTTTTGTCAATATATCTGTAACATGAACTGTTGATTAGTTAAAAACTGGTTGAGATAGTTTTACTTGCAATTATTTTGAACTTTGATATCTGTTTTTACAGCAAAGGCAGGCTTATTCATTAGGTAGCTTTAGCTAGTTTTTCACGCTATTCTTGCTTGGATCGTTTAGGGGTGGGGACGGTGAGCAGCAAGAGAAAGCAGTGTGACTAGTGGAAACATGAGCCTGTCTTTCCCGAGGGCTGAGCTCTGGGAAGGGGGAAGGGTTCAGTGCATTGGGCCAGGGCCCATCCTGGTGGATTCAGGCAAACGCCCTCAACTCCCTTTGAGGAACATGGGCTCTGTGTGTGGTTCACTCAAAGCTTCTGCCTTCCCTCAAGAGGGGAAGAGCTCGCCCTGAAGCTCTGGGCTCTTGAAAGGAGACTTTGCTCCACCTCTGCAGGCTGCCCTCTCCTCTGGACACCAAACCCACCATGGCAATTCCTTCAAAGCAAGAGTTTTTTGGGATAATTAATAATCTGATAGTGTCAAAAGGAATTTTCAGTGAACTGAGTCAAGGGTTGGTGGTGGTAAAACTTCCTCCAGCTTTCTAGGAAAGCAATAGAAGATGATATGCCATCTCCACCTTCCCCAGCCCCTCTAGAAACGTCTACCCTGGAAAAGTCTGTTTTCTACCCTTTGGGCCGAGAAAGATCTATGAGGAGGAGCCTCCTGTCCAGAGCTTTGCCAGAAAGCCCTTTGCTACACTCATCCTCACTCCAGCTGGTCACACTGCTCCTGAGAAAGCTTAATTCTCACCTGGCGTTTTCACGTCTTCCTTTGCTGTGTTCCGGGATGTAGGTTTCATTTGTGACCTAGCAAGGGGTGGAAAGGCCCAATTGCAAGGCGATTGTTGTTATTGTCAGCTCTCCTTTGCCAAGGTGGTAGCCATCTGTACCCTCCCTCCAGTAATCCTAGTCACTTTGCTCTCAGGTACAGTGACTCCCACGTGCACCCATCCTACCTTTTCCCTTCAAATGCTAACTGGAGGCAGATTTTCAGATGGAGAAACCATGGACAAGAGCATCTCTAGCAGTCCAGATTGTATTCAGGAACCAGGAACCTGATTCTGACTGGGCTGCTTTCTCCAGTGTAGGAGAGCTTGAACCTGAAACATGCTCATTCTAAAACACAACCCCTATCTTCTCTCAGCTTCTAGCTGTGCCCATCTCCGCTGGGGAAGGCTGTGGAACGTTGACTTCTGACCCACTCTCAGGGGGAGAACTGAGGATTTGAAGCAGTAACTCACCAGGGAGATAGTGGAGGTGAGGGGTTGGGTGTGGCAGAAGCGTTTGAATAAAGCCTCTTGTACCTGCAGGATAGGTAAATGCCCGGTTATGCCAGCGAAGTCCTGGCCTTGGCACTGCAAGTCAGGCGGGAGTTAGATGGGCAGACTTACCTTCTTGTCCATGAGGCAACCAAACAATAAGATGAAGACACCCTGGAAAGGGGGATATGGGGTTAAGTTAGTCATGGAGGAAGGAACCAACCAAAATCAACCCATTCCCTCTCTTCCTCCTGCAACCTCTATCCTCTTGTCTAATTCCCATCCCGAGGCTTCCCATCTTGGGTTTTCTGTACATTAGCACCATTTGGTGCATAGGATCCATCTCAGGTGCTTTCTTACTGTTATGGTTACAAAGGGGATGAATTTCAAAGGATTGGGTACTGACAATTCCCTGACTTTTCTGGCAAAACTAGATATTATTTTACAGATAAGAAAACCAAAGCTTAGAGAAGTTTGTCCAAAGTTATCCAGCTAGTCAGTGGAGGAACTGGGATCCAAACCTAAGCCTTCTAAAATTCCCGAGCCTATGTTTCTTCTGCTCCACCATAATACCTCCTTGGAAAGGCCATCTAAAAGGGCAAAAAGCACAGCCACCACCTTAGCACCTACCTGGGAGGTGTTGAGGACCGTGAAGACATAGTCAGGGACTATGGAGACTTCCTCTAACAGAGTGGCCAGGCCTAGCCCCCAGGTGATGCCGAAGATGGGTGTGAGAATGAGGAGGGCTTTGATCACCCCCAGAAGAGCTTGGCGCTGCTCCTCCTGGGGCCCCTCTGACAGCGAAGGTCTTAGCAACTTCAGCACAGCCATGGCTAGTACCAGCCCGTTCATAGCCACGATGGCCAGCACTGGCCCCACGAAGGTGTAGAGCCTCACTCCCTTCCTGTCCAACCAGCATGCCTCCTCCCCCAGGTATTGCCCTCGGGGTAGGTAGAGGCCCAGGGCGATACCTGCAAACCCCATGGGGCAAAGGTAGCCGAGGACCACCATCAGGGAGAGTACTCGGTGCTTGGACAGCTGATGGAAGACAAAGAGCAGCTGGTGGGCCAACATCAGGGACTGAGCCAGCATCCAGAAAAAGGTGGCCAGGTAGAGGAAATGCGAGAGGAAGGCAGCGGCCAGGCAAAGTGGGCTGCGGGGCCCTGGAGGAAGCAAGGTGGCTCCTAGGAAGCAGGTGTCTGCAGCCAGCAGGCAGAACACCACGTTGAGCAGGGCTGTGTGGCGTAAGTAGGCAAGTTTGTTCCGTGCCACGACCCTCCACACCAGCCTGTACACGCCCAGGCACACAAGCAGTGCCAGAATGGAGGCTCCCAAGCCCACCTGACCCAGGAGGTCCAGGGTGGGGTTTTCTGGAACCTTGTGTCGGGACATGAGGATGGAGAAGGCAGTGAGATGCCGGCAGATGCACTGAGTGCTGGGGCTGGCACTGGCTACCTGCACCTGGCACCCTTCATCCGACCAGCCCCCTTTGCCCTGGAAGAGATTATGGTCCCAGAAGACACAGTGGGGGGTGCCATCTATGTCCCCAAAGTTCATGATGACTTCTCCCTGGTTGAAGACCTGGTCACCTGCCATGATGGAGACAGTGAGGATCAGACCAGGAGTGGCATAGAGAGAGTCCCCCAGGCCTTTTCCATAGTTTGAGGGCAGAAGGTGGTCCAGTTTTTGCAGCACCAAGCTAGTGATACTGTTGTTGGTTCTATTATGGCCCAGTGGGGCCAGTGAGTGCCCAAGAATCTGTGCCTGCAGTCGGGACTGATTGGAGAAGGGGACACTGTAGTCAGCAGGAAATGGGGGTCTGACAAGCTCGGCTTGCAGCTGCACATTGGCCAAGCTGAAGGAGAAGGGATGATCCTCTGGGCACAGGCTGCGTGCCAGGGTCTCCACAGCCAGCAGGAGATTTGAGCCCGCCGAGGGCTGCTTGGCCTGGGCTGAGGTCCACAGAGAAGTGTTGTCCATGTCTAGCACCTTGTCTATGGTATTCAGGAGAGCCTGTGGCACCCAACAGAGAGATGAACTCTAGCTCCTAGAGCCCACGGCAGTGAGCCAGGGGCACTTGGAACTGTAGACCCCAAAACCCACCCTTCCAAGTCCAGCGCAAGACCCAAGGTTAGGGATAAAGAGGGAGAAGACAGGCCTGTGAAGAGTGACTCTCTAGATGAGAAGAATAAGGAGCTGTTCAGCTAACCACTAGGGCATCTTTAAGTATGTGGTCTCCTGATGCACATCCAGCCCTAACCCTTCTTCCCCCTCCATCTCTTGGGGCCACCCAGGCCCTAAGGGGACCCTTCTTCAGTTCATTGACCCCCACAGATCTATAAAGCTAGGAATGGTGCCCAGTGGTAGAGGGCACAATGTTCTGAAGTAGAGGGCCACATCCATGTCTGTGCACCCATATGTGATATATATTCCCAGACATAAAGGGTGTGTAGAGTCATTGTCCCTGGTTATTCTTTTGGCTGCGGCTTATGGGTCACCAACTGATGCCTATACTAAGAGCTGGTTTAAGTGAGTCCAGCAAAGCCAAGTGTGTTTGAGTATCTCCATGTAGGTATCTTGTGTGTGTGGGAGGGAGTCACGTAATATCCACATGTCTGCATGTGCATGAATGCCTCTGAACTCATGTCTTCACACCCCTTCCTGCCTTCCCTCGACCTCCCATGTGTTCCCAGCATCAGGCCTTCTCCACACTCCATGACCTTGGAGACTGATATCTAAGAGGGGAGATTAACCAGGGGAGCAGACACTTGGACTCCAGAAATGTCTGCCATCTGACAGCCCATGGTGTTGTCAGAGGGACAGAAGTGTCCAGAGGTGAAAAGCTTCCAGCCCCCATGACCCAGCTGGCCCCAGCTGTGGCTCAGAGATCTCACCTCCAGGGCACTGTGGTTAAGATGTATTCTGGTGTCTGCCACCACCTTGGCCAGGGAGCTCATGGTGCCCAGCACTGCCAATAAGTCAGAGGGTGAGCTCACCACCACCACCTGCTCCGACAGCTGTGCCAGGATCTCTGGCACCTCCTCGGCAGGCCAGCCCTGGCCTTCCTGCAGCCTCTGAGACAGATAAGACAGCAGGAGGGGGGTGATGGGCGAGTCCTCATGAGGGAGGGGCCACCTCCTCCCCATGTCCAGCTCCTTCCTCTCCGTACCTGCACCCTGTCCCAGGGGAGCAGGAAGCAGAGAGGGGAGTGAGCCACGTGGAAGGAAATGACACCAACGTTAGTGGGACAGACATTTGACGGGATTAAGCTTTGAAAACAGCAACCCCCCACCCCCCCCCCATGAGAGTGCTGGCCACTCTAAGGCCCCCACACCTTCTTCCTGGCTCTGCTAGGGCTCCAGTTCAGAGAAGCGGAATAACCTTTGGGCTGGGCCTCAGGGGGAAAGGATTCTAAAGCTGGGTCCTGAGTGAGGAAGGGGTAGGTCATGGAGGGTGAGGCATGTGGGCAGCAGGGCCAGAAGCTTTACCTGGGCTTTATGAAGCAAGGCCTGGAGCCTTGTGTCTGTGCAGTTGCTGTGGATGGGCCCCCAGACCCCGTCAGGCCCACATGGCCTCTTCACCATGCCCGTCCTGTTCACAGGACACAGGGCCTCTGCCACATGGCCAGCCTTGGTGACATTCCAGGCAACAGCTGAGAAGTCCTCAGGGCAGGTAGTGTTTCTACCTGAAGAATGATACAGGGAAAGCTTAGCAACCACCATCTAGCCTGAGCCTTTCCTTGGGCAGAAGCTTGTGCAGGTTCTGGACCCGGGCCCCATTGCCCAGCACAGGGAAACGTCGAGGAGGAGCTCCCAGGGCAAGCAGGGGAGAGGTCGGCCAGCTGGACCCCAAGCCCCATGTACCCTGGCTGATGGCGCTAGAGAAGAGGACCCCGTGAGGGGTCATTCCTGGGCTCTGCAGGTCACAAGTGTACACAGTGTCAGCAGCAGGGCAGCGCTGACTGGCCAGTGCAAGGCACTGGGAGCCTGACATGTTGAGTAAGGAGGCTGAGGGTGAGAAGAAAGAAGGGAACAGCCACTGGGCCAGGAACAGACCTACAGCCCAGCAGGCCCAGAGGTGCCATTTCAGTCTTTCTAACAATTTTCAGAGCAGATGAAGCAGTAGGGAAGAGCTGAGTGGTATGTTGGCATCAAACTACTGAAGGCAGAGCTTGGATTTTGGTGAAGGGCACCCTGGGGGTCTTTAACTAGCTCTGGGACTTGAAGCCACAGTTTCCTCATTTGTAAAGTGGGGACAATCATCAAGCGAACCTTGATGAGTTCAATGAGATTGTGTGGATGAAAGGATTTTGCAAAAGTTATCTACACACATGTGGTTATTGCTGTATCAATAGAATTGGGATAAAAACTGTTGGACTTGGACCCGGAACTCCCAGGTGAGCTGCAGCCTCTGCTTCCTATGAGCTGGAGAGCTGGCGGCCTGGAGGAGACCAGCTGCCCCCTCTCCCATGATCCCTGACAGCTGGCCCCTTTCCATACCTTTGCTGCCCCCTCTGGGGCTCCAGGAAGCTGTACAGGCTGAATGGGTGCTGGGGGTGCAGCAGCTCAGCTGGAAGCCAGGGGAGGTGGTGCAGGAGATGGAGAGCTGGTCTGGAAGCTGAGCCACGTCTGTCGCCTGCAGGGACACCCTCACCACCTGGTACAGCTCCCACCTGAATCCCTGGGCCTCAAAGCAGCACGTGTACTCACCTGCAGACACACACGTGCTGCACCTCCCGGCTCCTCTGGCCCCCACCTGCCCCACAGAATCTCTGCTGCTTCCCAAGCCACACCCTAGTCTGCCTTCTCGGTGCCGACTCTGCTTAACCCCGGCAAGAAAGATCCCTGCCCCCAAGAGGATTTCTACAAGGAAGAAGAGATCTGGAGAAGAGCCTCCTGACCCTTTTTTATTAGCCTGTAGCTGTGAATCCTAAGGTGAACCTCTCTCCCTCCAGGAGATGGCCTTCCTGTACCACCTTCTGCCATTTCAACATCTTGAAGAAAAATACACACCTGTTCTTAGTCAAAATCGAGACCATGTTTTCAGTATTCTCCCACTATAGTTTCTCACACCAATGCATCTCTGAGCCTTTGTTTCCCCAGAATGAATAAATGGAAAGATGAAAAGGGAAAGGAAGAGGAGAAAAGGGAAGAGGAGAAAAGAGAAGAGGGAAGGAGAAGAGAGGGAGGAGGAAGAGGTAGAGATGAGTGGAGAGAAAAGAGGAGGAAGAAGAGAAGGGGAGGAGAGAGGAGAAGACAGAGGAGGGAAGGACAGGCTGGCTACCTGCCCATTTGTGGGAGATGTTGAAGATGCTGAGGACAGCCTGGCCCTGGCTGGAGGTCAGGGACACACGTGTCCCTGGCTGTAGGGGAAGGGGTCCGGGGCTCCCTGCACGCCACAGGAACCAGTTGAGGTTTGTGGTCTCGTGGCTCGTGAGAAGAGTCAGGTTCAGCGTGTCGCCAAGCGTCTGCGTCCGGGAGTGCAGGCTCAGGGTCCTGGGGACTGCAGGGAGGCAAGAGACAGGAGCAGGAACTGGAGCAGGAACTCGTGGCCCTTGATGCAGCTAAGCTCTCTCTCCTTCCCCATCTTCTGAAGCCCATTCCCCCTCACTCCCTCCCCACCTAGCATTTTTTGTTTTGTTTTGTCCCTGGAGTGTGGCTTCCAGCCTGGAACACCCTATCTGTCATTGGGAACAAAACAGGGAAATTTTTTGGCATATGACTTCCCCTCCCCAGGGAGGGAACCTTCTGTCCTTGTCTTTATGTCTCTGGAGCCATTGTTCACTAGTCTCACTACTCAGGTCCCCAGCTCAGGGCCTGTGGTCTGCTATGACGGTGGGCATTTTCTCCCACCCAGAGGAGCCACTGGGCTTGGGCCAGCCAGCAGAAATACAGGGGTCAGAGAAGAGAAAAACACAGAGAGGGTTTCTTTCACTTGGGGCCATCAGTTTCCAAGTTCTCAACCCTCATTACCAGGTCGCAGCAACTGGCAGTACCCGGCTTCAGTAAGGCTGAAGACAAGACAGCCACAAGATTGGTGGTTGTGGGCAGTTTGGCAAGGATGATGATGGGAACTGGCATTCCACTGGTATCCAGAGAGGCAAGCACAATAGGTACACCCATCGTGGTTGACATTACACTCTGTGACAGAGGGAAGAGAAATGAGAAGTGGGCAGGCTGTTTGAGAAAGCCAGGGAGGCAGGATGAACAACTGCCTGATGCCTGAGAGGCTCTCAGCCTGGGTATCTGGAACAATCCCAAAGTCACAGGCACTTCAGTCACACCCATCCATCAGAAACTGCCTCCTCAGCCAGGGTTCAAAGCAGCGGAGGTTGTGCAGGGCGTCAGGGGTGGGGGCAGACAAGTCCTGGCCCACCTCGGTCTGCCCCTTGGACCCTCTGTTTAGAAGATGGGGACATGGGGCAGGAAGGGAAGGGTCTGTCTGGTGGGGAGCTGAGGAAGGAGCTGGGCCATGCAGACCCTCCAGGAAATAGGGAGGGGCTTGCAGCATCTCCGGTAAGCTGGCTGCAGGAGGCCTGGGATGCCCATGTTCCCTCCACTCTGAGCCCCCTTCCCACACAAGAGGTGTAAGAGCCACTGAGAGGCAAGGGTCGGTAGAACTTCCCCCTACCTGTTGTGAGGCTGAGGCCAGTGAGAGTTCTTGGGGAAGGGGAAGCCGAGGCAGCGGGGAGAGTCAGGGTCCTGGAGAGTGCCGCTGGCCAGGTCTCATTTGAAAAGTCCAGCTGTACATAGACCGAGACCAGGACTGATTCTACAGGAGCAGAGGGGACAGCTGGAGAGGAGAGGCAGCCGGCCATGGGCTGGTCCCCTTTAGCCTCCCACACCAAGCTGGTCACTGCCAGGAACCCGGAGCAGATCCCCTCGACCCCCAAAGCCCACCTAGGCATGGACAAGACTCAGGAAGGTAATAACTCCTCGCCTAGCTATGGTGCATTCAGACACACTTTCACGTCACCTTCCCAACAACCTACGTTTTATAGATGAGGCTCTTAAAGAAGAATGATTTTCTCAAGGTCTCACAGCTAGAGAACTGGTACACAGACCTGCCAGACCAGATCCAGTCCTTTCTCTTTACCCCACCGCCCCCTTGCTGTGCCCTCTCCCAGTCCTTTCTTTCTGCCCGTCCCTCCTCCTCCTGTCCATCCACTCACCACCTACTCCACTTTCTTGGTCCAGTTGCTGCCCAGATTCCCCTCCAGCCTGACTCTGTCCCTGGAACAGAGCACAGAGGAGAGACCTCTGAGGAGGGGTTGACCCAGGTTTCTCCCAGGGACGCCTTCCTCCCCACGTGGCTCAGGGGGGGCCAGCCTGGCTAATCTGGCATGACTTGGTCTCTTTGAAGTTCCTCTTTTTGCTTGGAATCAAGGGGGCACATCAGGAGGGGAAAGCAGGCTTCTGGTGGGAGGTGCCACGGATGCAGCCCAGGGCCTGCAAATCCCACCTGAACCCAGGAACCAGGCACACCCTGGAGAGTCAACATGCTTTGCTTAATTCCTTCCTGAATCAACCTGTCCCTGGGCCTCTAGGGTAATGGAAATGGCTGGGCCTGGAGCTCCAGCAGGGAGGGCTAGGCAGAGCTCACTGGGGCTCAGAGGCTTGGGGACTTTTACTCCCTCCATAGGAACTGCCATAAGGGTGAGCAGAAGGCAGAAACTTTCCTTTGTCCTGGTTCCTGTAAATTATTTCCTCACTAACTCCTTCCTCTCTCAAAATTGCATGTGCATGTGGATATCTATCTAAAAACAGATATTGATATAGATAAGGATAGAGATAGAGACAGAGATATTCACCTAGGAGAAAAGAGAGATCAGAAAGTACTAATCTAGGGCCGGCCCCGTGGCTTAGCGGTTAAGTGCGTGCGCTCTGATGCTGGCGGCCCGGGTTCGGATCCCGGGCGTGCACAGACTCAGCGCTTCTCCCGCCATGCTGAGGCCAAGTCCCACATACAGCAACTAGAAGGATGTGCAACTATGACATACAACTATCTACTGGGGCTTTGGGGGAAAAAAA